TTTCATATATTTATATATATATATATTATATATATGTATATATGAAAAATATATAAAAATGCATGTGGGTACTCAAATGAAAGCTCTTGATGAGAGTAACATCGGGATGAGCTTATATCTTTAAAAACGCTAATAGTTAAAAAAGTAGAGTGCAATTTAACAAAAAATTGCTAGTTTGGAATTTTTTTTTTAAATATGGACATTAAAAAAAGATATAAGCTAACAATCAAAAGTTTTTTTTTTTAGATTTTATCAAAAATTCAAATTAAAAAAAAAATTTATTTCAGTATAAAAAATTTTTTATTTGAATTTTGTACTTTTAAATTATTATAACATCGATTTAAATATAAATTTGCATATATTGATCCTACACATTTATAGTATCCAAATAATTTACACCTGACTAATACTAATCAAAAATGATTATCTTTATTGTCAATGCATAATATATAAAAAATAATAAAATAATAAATGAGGTCAATTGAAGATAAATTCCAGAAAGTAGTTGAAGCATAATTTAAATAACGACCGGCAAAATATGAAGCATTTATTATCGATCGATCAATTAAGCTCGCTCGCGACACAGCAACTAAAAGTCATACGTCAATTTACCAAAATGACAATTTGATCCTTGAATAGAATAGAACCCCAGAAAAAGAGGAAGAATCGATAACTATTTTTACCAAAGTGTCTGGGACAAAAAAATCGTGTACACCCCAGCAATATTTATCTCTATTTTTATTTCGTTATCAACTGAATTCTGAAGAAGAAAACCCTCAAATCCCCATCTAAAACTAATCTTATCGACTGTCATATCTCTTTATCTGTATCTATGTACACAGATACAGATAAAGATAAAAATAAAGATGTATTACTATATATAAATCTAAATTGGCGACGATCAATAGCCATTGTTCAATCGGTAAATTGTTTCTTATATTTTTTTTCAGTGCTATGCCCGTCTATTAAAGTTACGAATTTGCTGTGTAGAAATAGTAGTATAGAGCAAGCAGAGAAGATGATAAAGGTCCTGTATTGTAGCTGGTACATAACAGTAGCCATCGAAGAATCGGTTTATAACTATAGGCACGGATTAATTGGATCGGATGTCGGATAATGTGAAATCGAGCAGACTATCGAGTTTTGATATGGAATATGGAATATAATACCCGCCAATAGCTTACACCATTCCATTGATTCTGCTTACGATCACGTTCATCAAAATCATCAACTTTAATTACTACATTAGAGCTTAGCTCCGCCTACAGCTTTAACAACGTCTTGTTATACTGTTATTATATTATAATAATAACACCATTGTTAAAGACGTCGAAGGGTTTGCTCACGGAACAGAAAACGGTTTCGAGAACGCCTTGATTGCTGTGCTGCCTGAAATCTAAGCTGTACTACTATTACTGTTACTATTATCATTACTAAGTCATTCGAGGCTCTAAATGTGAGTATATATAATATATATTCTTGCTTGTTATTCTACGACATACTGTGTACTGACTTAATCCGTTTCTTAATAATGTACCATACTGGTAGTTAATGATAATTGACGAGGGTATTTATTTTAATTATTCAAATTTTACTTTAATGTTCACGCGATCGCAAAGTTACTTTTCTGTCATTTTATGTTGGAGGTTTTTTTTAATTAAAATTGTTTTTTTCTTATAAATTATAACTCTGTTAATATTTTCAATTTTTTATATTTAATAGTTAGTTAGTTAACTGATATTAGAACGTTTTTTAGAATTTTATAACAATTAAATTTTAATTAAAAAATTTAATTAAAAAATTTTACGTGAAAATTAAAAAAAGCTATGAGTGGAAATTTTTTGAAACATTTTTTTTTTGGAATTAATTTATTATAAAAATTGAAAAAATTGACAGCTGTCAGCTAATTTCAGTATCATAAAAATTTTATGTAACAGAAAGAAAAAATTTTTTAATAAAGTAAATTTTGTTGAAGCTCAAAAAAATATTTAAAGAGAAAAATTTTTTTTGAGCCAATTGTTTTTGTCTAAGAGCATGTAATACAGTCTGTTGTCAGTAATTCAGTTTGGACTAGTGATGATAAATGCCAATTGAATATATCGGATTGTTTTTTTGAAACACATAAAATGCACTGAAGATTATCAGGCTGACTGTCAATACTCCCAACACTGTTCAAAAAAATTAAACTATAGTTTATTTACTATAGTAAATTAAATTTTTTGTTTATAATTAAATTTCTATCCAAACCTATTAGCTGCATTTTATTAATTCTGTCTTATAAGTAATCTAAACCAAAGTAAAAATTAACCCAAAAAATTAAATCAATTTAATTGATTTCATTTTTGGCCCGGAGATAAGACAGTTTTACGCGCGAACTCTACCTATTTATTTATCATTTTGTTATTTTTTTTCAATGATTAAATTTAAAAATAGAAGAATCAATTTACGAAGGACTATTATTAACATACTCTTGCCAAGCTTAATGATTTTTTGTTCAAAAATTACTTGGTCAAAAAGCGTCTCAGTATTTTATCCAAAATATGAATATTCTCTCCCTACATATTCTTAATGAATTTTTGTGAAAAATTGATATTTAGTAAAATGCTATACTTATAGTTACTTTAAAAATTTTGTAAATTTTTGACCTTAGGGGAGCTTGGGGTCGCCCCGGTCACCAACATTTAAAAAAATCTACTATACCTTAAATAATGAATTTTGTTTTATTTTGTACTCTTATTCAGCTGAGAGTAAAAAATAGATTCAAAACTTAGAAATATAGTATTTATTAGTAATAATTAAAAATTAAAAAATTGATTCCCATTTGATCTAAGAATCGGAATCATTTTCGTAAGGCTTTTAATATAGTTTACAGCAAGATAAAAATTTATAATTTTTATGTATATAATCTATAAATCTTCCTTTATAAGTGGTAATTTTTATTATACTGTAATTATTAATCGTTTTTTTTTTTTAAATAAAGTTTATTTTCTCAACTATCGGTTGGGGTCATACCAGTCAAAGCTGTGAGGTAACACCGGTCAATTTATTCAATTGTTTATTGTCTGACAGCTCGTGTGTTTATTTTTAAAACGAACCACTATTTTTTAATTAATTTATCAATTACGGTAAGTTATCTCGTAATTTTAAATAAAGAAAAATGGATCAATTATTTTTAAAAGGTCATATTTTTTATAAATTAATAAATAAATTATAGATGCTTCGTAAAAAAATCCGGAAAACTGAAAGGGGAAATTGGACTCCTGAAACTCTTCGTGCCGCGAATAGTTAAAAAACAGAAAGTTTAAATGTTAAAAATTACCAATATCAATGTTATTTGCTGCTAAAGTTTCAATAAAAAAATTAATTTTTAATTTTTATTAAATTTTAACAATATAATTCGGAATTTCTAATTTTTAAAATAAAATTAATATTGACCGGAGCGACCTGCCTAATGACCCAACACGTTGGGTCGCCCCGATCAAACTCATTATTTCTATAATTCTTCAAATATTTTTATTTATCTTCATACTTATATTTTTTAGTCATTGCATTTAGTTCTTCAGATGTCAAAGAATTAAATAAAGTCTTTTTTATTATTCCAAAATGATAATTTTAATATTTTTTTAAATTCACTTCTTAGGTGACCGGGGTGACCCCACACTCCCCTATATTCTTTTATAAATTATTAATAAACTAGTAAAGTAAATAAAAAAAATAATGAATGAAAGCGAGTAAATGATAGTTGGTGTAAAAGGCAGCTCTAGTGAGTAATAAAAAAAGTAGTAATATGTCGTGCGTTAACTACTTTGACTCTATCGTTTGAAGTTTCAAAGGATTAATAATAGACTACAATTGTTTAAATTTAAAAAAATTTTAATAAACTAAAATTACGAATTTTTTCTAAAGAAAAAATAAAAAATTTTCATCTAAAATTGTATGAGATTTCTCAACTTTCTTTAAAAAAAAAAAATTGTTTCGCTTTAAAAAATTCAAAGTCTAAAAATATCTTTTATGTAATTTTAATTTTACTGCATGAATGAGCTTAAACAAAAAATCCGAAATTAAAGCTCGCATTTATTTAATTCTTTCGCATATCCGATAAATATTAAAGCGAGCGAAACTAATAGAATTATATTTTCCATTCATATCATAAAATATCTCTGAATTTAAAGTGACAAAAAGCTAAATTTCGTGGGATTAATTTTTTTCAAGGATTTTTTTTTTTTAGAATTTAAAATTCATGTATTCTATATCCTTCGGATACTTTTATTTGAATTTGTGATTTATTATTTGAATAAAAATACAAAAAATCAAAGGTTTGAAATGATTTTTGATACATTTTTTGCGATTGACGACAAATTTATCCTTATTTATGTAATACGAAAAGTATTGATTAGCTTTGATGGAATTTATTCGAATCTAAGGTCAAAAGGAAGTCTATTTATATGCTAAGAAAGTAGAGCGATGGAATTGGGA